CCTCAGGCGGCGTGGGAACTGAAGTCATGTTAATCAGCATTGTACAGCTTGACACACGTCTCCTGCTCTTTTCTAGCACGTGATTCTGGTGAGAGGGACAAAGGGAAGTGTAGAGAAGTAGGTTTACTTAATGAATGGTTGCATTCATGTAACACAATAGAGCGAATTTACGGTTGTAAAAAGGAGCAAATACAAACTATTACATGAATTAAAACACATTAAAAACGAAATCTTAAATGTAAAATTCAATGAAATGTTAACTTGAAGTTACAAAAAATACAATAAACATGCACTTATGTATATAATATTAATATTTAATAAGAAGTAACCAATAATCTCATTAATCACGCATGTATTATTGTATTATAGTGAATGTAACATTAATTGTATTGCTGTATCAATACATACTTCATTATATATAAAATTATTTACAGGCAGTATAAGTCAAATATGAAACAGGTAACTACACGTTTAAGGTGGGGTGAAAAAATGAATAACAACAACAACAACAGACAATAATAAATAAGAAGGAAGAAAGAGGAAGAATTTAATTAATTAAAAGTCATTTTTAACAATGCAGAGAACATACAATATAATTGACAAGGTTTTCAGTGTTTTGGAAGAGGAATGGGCTCACTTAAAGCACAAGTATGTAACCCATAGTGTTTTGGGAGGGGTCAAAAGTCTGTGGTCAGTGGGGGCCCTGGGCCTTGCTGATGTGGCCAATTACTGATGAAGCTGTAAGGAACTGTTTTGTGCTGCGAGGGAAGCGGTTGACACCTAAATAAATGACTTAAACCTATTTTGGGTTTGTTAGAAAACACTTTTTGGTTTAAAAAGAAACTGCTTTTTATGTTCGTCTCACCCTTTCCTGTTATTTCGTCCAGGGTTATGAGGGACTCGGCTAACTCCTCTGTGGTGGAGGTGGTGCACTCCAGTTTATACTGGGCTTACAAGCTTTCGGCGATGACAGCGTCCAGCTTCTTCTTTAGCCAGCTGGGTAACTACCTCGTTGATGAACCTGCAGCAGAGAAAATGTGTTTTACTTTTGGAAAAGTCACTTTGAAATGCTGAAGAGAATGCGTGGAATAGAAGGCAAAACATAGTAATTGGTCCTCCTCTGGTCAAAGCAAATCAATAAGAACGATTGTTACTTTATTCCTTGAGTAGGCAAAAAGATATACAGGTAAAACTGGTAAAAACATAAAAACTGAATTCCTTCGGAAATGGAAGAATCTGGAATAAATGTATAGATAGAAAAAATAACTTATGAGAAAGAATGAGTTTAAAGTCTTTGATACAGATGTGAAAAAATAGGTGTGATAAAGATTACACAAAACCATTAACTATGGTGGTAAGTTGTGACAATGAATGTAGTTTGAGTTTTAATGATGTATTTCTTAGCTTTATCATAATATACTGTATATATACCTTTTTTTGTTTGTTTTTTTCTCTTTTTGATTTGTGTATTGTTAGTTTTTTAATTCATGCATTTTAATGTAATTGTATTTTCTCATTTCGTTATGAAATCTTAAAATGCATACAAATGAAAATGATTTTGAAATTGATGAAGCTGTTGTTGTATATTTGGTTGTATTATCAGTCCACTGAACTCTCAGGTCGCGTCTGCTTTCCATCCCCGGAAAACTAAACTGGTAGAAGCAGTATTCAATTATTATGCCCCATATATCTGGATTATAGCAAAACAAATAGTCTGCTGCAACTCTCACTTCTTGTATTTGTATAGCTGTCTTAGTCCGTTCTAGCTTGTTTATTTGTATTATCTCGGCTTTTAATGACAGTTTTAATGTCATTTAGTGGGAATGCTGACACAGCATTCCAACTATCTGTTATGCTACGCACAAAATTCTTTATTATTCCGCCGGGTTATTTTGCGCTGCTTCTTCTCCCACATTGAACATCGCAGAAACTCCGTTCAAACATCAAAACGTTCAGCTCGGTCGGGAATCAATGGCTACTTTTATCATTCATAACTTTCATAATTCCAGAGATACATCCAATAGATCCCATTTTTAACATGGAAGTCAATGGAGAACTCTTCAGACTACAGCAATCTTCATGCAACTTCAACTGCTAACTGCTCCTTCTTCAACTGCTAACTGCTCCTTCATACTTTCACTCAGAAACCTCATTCCAACTTTAAAATGTCACACATCTTTCTGACATTATTCTTGTAACACAACTTTTAAATCTGATTCATACCTTTAGAGATATTAAACATTGTTCAGACCTTGGTAAAGAGGCCTTCTTCAGATTGTAGTGCGTGATTTCACAGCTAGAGTGGAGGAAAGATTTAATTTTGCCTTCATATTTTCTTTTAAACCTACCATAATTCCCAAACCCTACATTCCTGAGACATCATTTGTCATTACAAACGTAGGAAAACATCTCGTAGCTTGAAGGATAAAAAAAATTAAGCAAAATAATTAAACAAAATGCTTCTTGAGGGCATGAAGTGAAAAAAAATGTCAACATGTCTCCATTAAACCCCATTGTAAATTCAGCATCACCTTTCCCCACCACAGCAGCCGCACTGCACCTTTAGTTAATCTGACAAAAAGGCCACATTATTAACCCGAAAGTACACAAAAAGCACACGTCAGATGCTCAAGTTCCTTGAGATGCTTCACGCTGAAAACGTTCACATGTAACAGGTTTATCTCTCATTCAGAACAGTGAAAATGCTTTCCTCTCACTGATCACCATGGAAACCTTTGATCTCTGGACACTTCGTTAGCTCAAATATAAACACCTGTGTCATGAAACACGATGATGTCATAACTCCAATTGACATAATTAGAGCAGCAGACTAATGATGTGGTCACTGGAGTTTAACAGACTGTCTCAGCCTATTATTTTCCGTCTGATGGAGACTTCATACTGACTTCAACATGTTTCACATATTTTAGACATTATTGGTGACGTATGCTTTTAGTTCTAAAGTTTTCAGTTCATAATATTCTGCTGCTTTTTCATGCATTTAGACTTATATTTTCTTGTTCTTATTTAGTGGGAATGCTGATACAGTTTTGAGATTTCTTCAAATGTTGTTGCCATGGCAACACAATGCTCGCCATGAAAAACGGTTTTCTCATAACTTCAGTGAAAAAATGCTCCAAACAGCCCAAAACTTCACAGGTTTGGAAACGATGCAGCCATCAACATATCTAAGCGTATTTTGGGGTGTCATCAAATACCGTTGCCAATGTCGACAGATCATTCGCAATCAAGTTAGTTCAAAAGTTGCAGTTCAAATATTCTGCAGCTTTTCCAAGCCTTTTTACTTTCCTTTCTTCTCTTGTCACACATTCAAGCCGCCAGTGTTCATGTATCATTTCAATCTAAATTATTCACTTTCTTCTTACACACTACATTTCAGCATAGCAGTTCAGCGTCAGCTTTTCAGCATAAAGCATTCCCACTAGCAATTTCTTCAGGAATTGCATTCTCTAGTTTTATAATATGTTTCTTTTTAACTATGTCTGATTGCTTTTAATATTTTTTTTTACAAGCACTTGGAATTGCCTTGTTCATGAAATATGCTATATATATATATATATATATATATATATACAGTATATATACACTTTTTTGAATTCTAAGCTTCTGGTGAAATAACAGAACACAGCTTAAAAGGTCTGTTGTCAGATTTGATAAGGTCATCATCATCCTAAAAATATATATATTCTTTTATATATCCACAAAAAAACACTTTTGAATTTGAAACAAAACGATTCATTATATGAAATTACTCGATTATACATTAGGAAAAAGATGTTGTGAATTTTGGGAATGATTACATCTGACTAAAGCTGAGCTATTGGTTTTTCTTTGTATCACACAAGTCAGTATACGTTGTAGGCATTCCCAACTGGAATCTTCTTCTTCAAAAGCAATATTTTTGGTCGAGCCTAATCTTTCTCTTGAACTATGCAGAAATACCTAGGTTCAAAAAGAAAAATGGAAATGCATTTGAGTGGTAATTGTGAATGTGATGGCACATGGCTCCTCCTCACCTCCAGGCAGCGGAGCGGGGAAGACACAAGCTTATCTTTGAGCTTTGTTTTGTCCACCAGCAGTAATCCAAGATGTGTTTTCTGTTGGATGGCTGCGGCCTCTTTATGCTGACTGTGGTGTAACTCCAGCGCTTTCCCAAAGAAGGACAAACCTGTGAGACGAAGCAGTCAACATCATCAGTCATAAATCCCTATATTATTGCACAGGCTTTAATCTCTGCTGAGGACTTGTGTATGTTTGTTTATTTTAAGACTAAAACACAATGTTATAGAATACATAGGTTATTGGGTTATTAGGAGTTGTTGACAACTTGTAGCACTATAAGGAGGTTTTCAGCAATTGGCCTATTGGTTTGTTTGTACTGGGCATGTGCATGCAGTGTCAGAATAGTGCCATTACGTGTATGTAACACTTGCGCTTCTATTGGCTATCACTTCAACACATTGTACGTGATAATCGGCTAATGGAAGGGACATCTCTCAGCAGTTGACCAATCACAACAGAGCCAGCCAGCTAACCAATCAGAGGGTTTCAGACAGAGGGTGAAAAGAGGTGTTGCAGCACAGGCAGAATGAGAACAATAAAGCACTTTTTGAACATAAATGAACATGAAAATGAGCCTCATAGGGCCTCTTAAAAGAGTTAACTCGATTTTTTAAGACATAGTTTTAAAAGGGAAAGATAGATGAGATGATAAGTGTAAATGGCCAACAGGCCTTATTTGCACCTGTGTCAGCCATAGCAAGCTGGCCAGCTACCAGGTGAGCTATGTGGCCGGCATTATGCATAATCTTGCTGCTGGTTTTATGCCATCCATTTTGCATGCTATTGCTATTCTAAACTGAACTGCTCTTTGTATCATTAATGGGTTACTAAAATGATAAATGTTAATATATTAATATAGTACATCACCATTATCCTGTTGCCGCATCGCATCCAGATCCAGAGCCTCATTCTCTTTGAAGAACAACTGAAAATGCTCGAATGTGCGTGAGTACACTTTTGCCGCATCAAAGGCAAACTGGAGCAACTCCTGAAGAAAAAGAAAGTCAGGTAAATACTTATACATATGGAAGAGTACACTTTTCAAACACCCTCCAGAGAAAGAAGGTTAAGCAAACTGACCTCGATGTTCTGAATGACGCTTTGAAGGTTGTCATCACTCTCAATGATGGATTCTACACACTGGTCATCCACATATTTATGCTGCAATTTCAATAAAAAACAGATACAAAAACTATATAAATCACCTATTGATATTTAGAACAACTACATTTGCCTGAATATACGCGTGGTGATTTTGTTTCCTACCTCGTCAGCTCTGGCCTCTGTCATTGAATCAAAATCGGGATCTGCCGTGAGCACATTGACCGACTTCACAGTTTTCTCAAACCACCCGATGACCTCTTTGATAGTCTCCTATAGGAATGAACAAAAGCTGTAATATAAATGGGTGTAGAATGGGTAATATATGTGTTACAATTTGGAAAACTAACCTGGAAGTTCTCCTCAGAGGGTTTGTAGGTCAACATGTTAGGCTCCAGGATCAGCTCAGTGATGAACATAGGTTGGACACGGCCAGGCTTGGTGAGGAACGGATAACATGAAACGGGATTACTTAACCAGGATACAAAAAAAGGTAACTGTATTCACTCACAGTTACATGAAAAAATACATAATCAGATTACTAATACATTTCTGAAAATGGTGGATTAACGTAACAAGAAATTAGAGAAAGAGCATATTTTGTTTGTTGTAAAAGCAGCGGATTTCATTTCTGACACGTTTTGTATCCTAAATATCTTGGTTTCTTCTTTTCTATGGTTATATTTTTCTGTTATCTAACATAATACACTTAAGTAAAAAACATCTGATTGATATATATTTTCTTATTTCTATGGAAACTACCGTAATCAGGGTACATTACTTTCATATTTACGTACTCAGATTAGTTAACTGATTACATTATTTTTACAGGTCTCTAGTAGAATACATTCTGAAAGAAATCCTCCCAACCCTGGACACGGCAAGTTCCTGACCAATAAAAACACACACTACAACCAAAAGAAACACATGTGTGACTCAATCTGGGTGGAGTGGAGCCCACAATCACCAAGCATCCATACATCTTAGCACCATCTTTAAGATGTGACTTTGACAATTATTTATAATACAATTATAATAAGAATAAAATTATGCCCTACCTTCTTATCCATCTCTTCCTTTGTGGTGTCCGTGGCAACCTCACAGTGCTGGCTCCAGCTCTGAATAACATCATGGCTGGGCGTTTGCTGTACCTGCTCCTTGAGCACAGATAGCAGTTTGGCCATTGCATTGGCCACTAAGATATACAAGGTGTCAACGACTAAAAAGTCAACAAGACGTATGAAGCTGGGTAGGTGAGGACAGAGAAGGACTGGGTTAATGTGATTGATGTGCCTGATTGATGATATATAGTATAAGGTATTTTCACAGCAAATATTTTTGACAAGTCATTAAGGAGAACAGGTTTTAGGAATACCAGTAACAGTGGCTTTGTTTTCTGGACTTATACAGTAATTCCAGATAGTTTCCCTATCGAGGGACGGGAAAGGCAGGGAAGAGAGGAATTCATATGCAGCAAAGTGCAAGTTTTCACTTTTTATGTTTATGATATCAATATTTGTATTCTGTTTTATTGATCTTTTATTGTACATTTTACTTTAACTTATTATGTTTGTATAAATACCTTTATTCTATTTCGTTTTATCTTTAATAGGTCATTTTACTTTAAATTATTATGTTTATATAAATATTTATCCATATAAATTTTGTTTTAACTTGTGATTTGTTTTAGTTTATATCTGAAATAATTATCCAAACTTAAAAAACAATAATATCCAGACTCAGTTCCCGAGCAGAGGACCCAGGTTTGAATCCATTTCATCCCATCTGTCTCCCCCTTTCAACACTGTCACTCTCCAATAAAGTGAGCATTGAAGACTCCTAAAGTTGGGAAACTCAATATGTAATTGTGCCAGTAAGCCATTTCAGGCTAAGCATAATTTAGCCATCTCTTACAGGGCTGTGCAATTAATCATATTTTAGGCCGATTAATTACGATTTTGGCCGGCCACAATTACGAAAACAACATAATCGAAAAAAACGATTATTTTGCTTTGCTTGGTTGTGACAGTGCACTTCAATATATTTGATCTAATTTATTTTAGTCTAATTTATTCGTATTTATCATATTTACATATGTTTAGTAGCTTGTTGAAGTGCGCTCCAAAATATTTGTTGATCTTCTTTATTGGTATTTATTATTTTGATATTATTTATTTAAATGTAAATATAAATGTATCATTTATTTTTGTATTGGTTTTTCAGTTGAATTATACGTTCAGGGTAATCAAAAGTTAAAAATATACTGTTCAAATTATTATTTGTATTTGTTTTGAAGTTCAATAAATGGATGTTTTCAAAGTCAATGAATAATCGTATTTAATAATCGTGATATCAATTATTGACCAAAATAATCGTGATTATGATTTTTGCCATAATCGCACAGCCCTAATCTCTTATTTCATCGTACATGCCTGTATTTTCTAATTGAGTATTTAAACTTAACAGAAGTCTGACACACCGGTAAAGATAGAAAGCGTAAAGAATGACATAAGAAAATGACCCACCAGATGACACGGGTGGAGTGAAAAGTCTTGTTGATCCCAGCAAGAAATTCATTGTCATCTGTGGCAAACAAGGAAGAATTGTTAACGTTGTGGTCAGTGTATGTCAGTGGCGAGCCGTCAGGAGCTGAGGGCCTAAGATATTCTAAAAAATAATATTTGAAAACACTAAAAAAAAAAGTTTCTTCAATATTTTTCATTAGTTTTACCAAAATAACTTGATTTAAATGTATTTAAATAACATTTAATAACATTTCCAAATAAATAAATCCTTCGAATCTGCCTGTTCAGTTTCTGTTTGAATGTGAAGGGTTAAATGAAAGCTCCTTGACCCATCTCTGCGAGTTATGTGAAGACAGCACTGGCGACTGGTCATTAGGGGCAGGTGGGGCAAAGCCCCATAGTGTCAGCAGAAAGTAATTCAAATAAGAATTCCAAAAAAATGCAAATAAATGCAAAAAAAAAATACATCTTAAAATATATTTTAAGATCATATTTAATCATCTGATTCGTCTGTGCATTGCTGTTTTAGTCTGTGTTCTTCTAATTAGTGTCTAGTGTGCCTGTTGAGCCGTTTTGTGCGACGTGGGTCAAGCCCCGATCCAGCCCCTCTCTCTCACTGTGTAAGTGAATGGTGACTGTAAAAACTACACTGCGCATGCTCAGAGTATTTTTCTCTTCAATGTGTGTATTTTTCTATTCAATGTGTGCGGCACTGTGCTGACATACCTACCAAATGTCATCTCATAATTAAGAGAGCTGATTGGCTCTAAGTATGTGTGCCGCGAAAAGTTTAGATGTGAAGAGGAGACGAGAGAGAGAGCAGCTTATAGCGATTAAAATCAGTAAAACGGAAAGAAAATGAATGAAGTTGACCATCTACTTCAGCTTTGGTAAGTTCATTTGATGTCATATCTTTTGTTGATCTTCTGTGTTTTGCCTATAGGCTATTGCTCTGCTGGATCGATTGATATTGTGACCTCGGTGATGAGCGTCTGTGTTTTCCTTTTGCCAAGTCATTTTCAATGTGGGCCGCCATGCCGACTAAATTCATTTGTAATTGTTACTTGGCTGTGGGTGCCCTGCCCTGATAGGTGTTTATATAAATGGTGTTGTTTTGTGTGGTAGAGGCATTGATGCGTTTTGCACCCCAGGACGTTGTTTTGATATTCCGCTGAACTATACGCTGTGACGTAATAAATCTTATTTTTTCTTCGAGGGAAGGGGGGGTCAGAGGGCCTAGGTATAAAAGTCACGGCTCGCCACTGGTGTATGTAGATTCAAATGTCTCCATAGGGTGTGCGCACACCTTCATCTTCCTCTTTGGGTATGCACTTCAAGTAGTTGCGACACGCACAAATCGTCACTTCCTTCACCAGGTCCTGAAACTTCTCCAAGTCATTCTTCACCTGACAATAATTAAAAAATTAGGGCAATGATCTACACACAATTAAAACCATTGTTGTATCGTACATAACAATAAATACAAATGTTACCTCTTGCAGTTGTTTGAACTGGAATTCCCGGAACCCCTGCAGTGTGTAAATGTGTTCTTTCTCTATGTGGCACAAGCCCGTATCACTGATCTGGTAACACATTTTCTTTATGTCTATCAGTGCAGGACCTAGACACTGGAAGAGATATGCAAATGTTGATAACAACTTAATATCCACACTACTCACATTAAGTTAAGGGGTCCTATTTACTTTTTGGGGTTTTCTCTTTCCTTAAGTGTGTAATAAGCATATCAATTTTCGGCTTAAATCCCAAAGATCCCTACAGAGGGAGTCATAAATAATGAGTTTAAATAACTTCCATACATGTAATAGGACACTATAAGTGAATGAGGAAATAATCTGTTGACATCTCTATGAAATTTCCCCAGTTAGATTTTTTCCAATAAGATAATTATTTTCATATTATGATACATTTCAGATTAATATTTTGAGCCTATACTGTGACATGTTTACCTGCTTTAATGTTTAAAAAGTGCTTTGTTTTTGTCCTACTGCCTGTGCTGCTTTTCACCCTCTGTCTGAAACCAGAGCCCAGTCTGCTTTGACTCGCTAGTTGGCCTGCTCTGTTGTTGGTAATGTCCCGCCCCTTAGCCTATCACTTACAATGTGTTGAAGCCCTATCCAATAAAAGTGCAAGTGTTTTATAGTGATGCCACTAGGTTAAGGAAGAAAACAAAGGAGCCCAATCGTGGTGTTTCAGGCAGGGGGGGGGCGTGTGAAGTGAACTTTAGGATTTTAGCTATTGCACAAAAACCTATATAACGCACGAGAGGCAAGGGAAAACCTAAAAAGCACATTAGGGCCCCTTTAAATATGCAAATTGGGTATTTTGTAATGCTAAATCCTGGTGAATTTAGAGAAAGATACAGACCATATTTGTACAATAAACACCTAATCTGTATGCTGGATGTTATCTCACCAACAGTCTTACTTAACTAAGTTATCAAAGTAAAATAGCAAGGAAATTAAATAATGGGTAGAGTCTCGTATTACACAGATTGAACTAAAATCCAATTCATACACCCTGTGACATACCTCATTGACAATACATAATCTTCTTTGGAGGGACTCCTTGACCGAGTGAATCTTTTTGGCCTGTACTTTGCTGTGCCAGACGTAGAAAGGTTTCCACAGATTAAAGCGGATGAAGAAGGGGATCCGGATGAGCTTGCAGTGGTAGTTATACTCTTCTTCCCAGCGTGCGGTGGTTATGAAGTCGACCTTGTTCTCGTAAATTGTTACCACACCTTCAGGACTTATCATCAGAAAGTCCTCCTTACTGTACTCATAGACTACATTGGTGTGAGTGTCCATAATACCAGTGCTCTTGATGGAAAAAGGCCTTTTGGGGGGAGTAGGGATTGACTCCGTTTTTGGTGCCATCTAAATATTGGTTGAGAAACACAATCAAAGGGTAATTACATTCTGCATAAAGCCCATTTAAGGAAATAAACAATGAATTGTAACAAAAGCTTTGTCAAGTTTTTGCCTGATGTGCCGGATTTTGAAACCACAGTACATGTTTAAAATGCCACAGTCTAACAGTAGCCATGATAAAAGCCTTGGTTAATAATGAAATCGTGGAGTGGTGCAGTGATGACGTTTTCTTGAAGGCCGACCATGGAAGTTAGCATCCCAAAGCTCTCTTGATAAAAAGCAACAGGGTTTTAACATTGGATTTTGGTATATGACCAAAAAGAGTACATCATGATGACATGGCTGCGTGTCATCACCAATAAGCTAAAGGCGGCTAATGTACAGCATGTTTGCATCTAGGAGTCTGATATAGTCACTTGTTATCATCTGCCGTTTTTATGAGACATATAAGCTTCGGAAATTCACGAATGGGGTGTTTTATTTAAGTATTTTTGTTGTAGAAAGTAACATAAACATATCTTAATCTTGTGTTAACTACAGACATTATTTCAGGCATCCAATCAGAAAGCGGTTGACTCCGAGACGAAGGAACCAGAAGTAGAGAAATGCTAACTCAATCCCGGCTTTAAGGACTCATTCCTGCACGATTCCATTTAGATTCATACATAAATAAATGCTGGAAAAATGCTCAAAGGTTGTCATCCCTTTGAGAAACTATCAATAAGCCTACAACAATAACTTATTGCGAAGCAGCAGTCAATCCTAAAATGTAATAAAGAGATCAATCCCAGATCAAATTTGACTCAAACGGCCTTGGAATTATTGTCTTTAGCGATGGTTATATCATGGTAAATGTTATGTTAAATGTCTGTTCCCTTTTTGATGTTGCAAATGAAGCCGCTGAAAAAATGCGACTTGATCTGGCAATAACGTTTGATAATATTCTCGAACATGTCTGTCACTGACCTTAGTCCTGGATTTCAGAGGAGGGAGATGGACAGGCATTTTTTCTCTAGGTCTTTGTGGCTGTTCTGGTTGCGGTTGATAAGGCGTCTGAGTGTTCCAGCCTGGAAAATACATCCGCTTCATGTCTTTTATGTGTTCGAGGCTGGGTTCTTTCCTTTTAACACGTCTTTTTAGTACAGCCTAGAATCAGGGGAAGAAACAGACAGATACATAAGATCTACATACTGTACCACTTTGTGACTGAGCCACTGGTCATATTTAAATAGCATGGGAAGTAGTATATTGGGTGTAGAGTAGAAAGTATTTCATATTGTGTCAGTTTGCCACATCTCACCAGGGGGTCTTGAACCACTGGAGGTCTTGGTTGGATGTTGGTGGAGCTCTGGATTTCAGGAAGCTTGTGCAGCCGCTCTGGGACAGGATGTAAAGTGGAGTGTAAGGTTAGTATTGAATTAAAGATGTGACAAATCAAGGTTTGTTGGCAGGGCTGGAAGAATTACTCACATTGTTATACTTTTATACTACACAATGGTAAAATACTCTGTCAAAAGTAAAGTCCTGCATTCAAAACTGTACTTAAGTAAAAGTACACAAGTATTGAACTCAAAATAGACTAAAAGTACTCGTTATGCGCGATAGCCTGTTTCAGAATCATTTATATATTAAATTACTGGATTCTGATTATTGATACCTTAAAAGTGTCTCACACAGCTGGTAAAGGTGGAGCTAATTTGAATCACTTTAGATTCTGCTTCTGGATATTCTGAACTATATTTACATGTCAATGTTTATTTTTGTGTTGATTTGTATTTTCTATTATCTGTGAAATGTACAATATTGGCTTCCAGAATTTAGTGGAGTAGAAGTTTAGAGTAGCATTAAGTAAAATACCAAGTTAAAGTATTAACAATTCTACTTAAGTACAGCACATGAGTGACATTCCACCACTGTTAGTTGGTTATACAGCGGTGGAAAAAGTATTTCGATGATTTACTTGGTTGAAAGTACTAATACCACACTTGGAAAAAAGCTACATTTTGAGTAAAAGTACTGCATCAAGAATGGTACAAGGTACAATGGTAAAAGAATAATTAGGAAAATGTACTCAAAGTATTAGGAGTTAAAGTACTCAAAAGAACAGAAAAAACAAACATGTAAATATTTGTAAAATATTTGAAAGCAAAAGCAGCCAATCTTAACATTTAAGTAACTGGGACAGTGAAATATTTTTAAACAGATAACCCTCCTCGCAAAATTGCTGCCAATTAGTTTTCTGGTAACCACAATTGGTTTTATTTACTTAAATATAATGTTGGATGGTTAAACTATACGTAATAATCATAATTAAAAAGTGTTTCCAAAGTGTTGTGTGTCAAAATCTGAATGTATAAAGTATAAACTACTTAATAAAATTGTAAAATAAATATGGCGGAGTAAAAAGTACAAATTTGCCTTCCAAAATGTAGAGTACTTGAGTACATGTACTTAGTTACCTTCCACCACTGGTTATACAGATAAACAGGTACGATATAAACCAGAGGTGGGAAAAGTACTCAGATCTTGTACCTAAGTAAGAGTATATATATATAGTGTAGGAATACTCTGTTACAAGTAAAAGTCCTGCAATCAAAATGTTACCCAAGTAAAAGTACAAAAGTATATACAAAAAATATATATATTTCATGTTTTGATTATAATTATTGATGATTAATGTGTTTATCAGAGCTGGTAAAGGTGGAGCTATACCCACTTTATTTACTGTCTGCAGGGTCACTTTGACTCTAGGTGTAACTGAAGTCTTATTTAAGTGTTGAATATATTTCACATTATTAATCGAAATCTGCAAAGTAACTAAAGGTATAAAATAAATGTAGTGGAGTAAAAGTACACAATGTATCTCTGAATTGTAGTGCAGTAGAAGTGCAATGTAGCGAAACACTGAATACTCAAGTAAAGTCCTAGTCTCTCAAAATTGTACTTGAGTAAATGTACTTAGTTAATTTACACCAATGGAATTATTCAAGTAGGTACAAGTACCTCAACATTGATTTAAGTACAGTACTTGAGTACATCTACTTGTTTAATGTACACCACTGTAATTAACACATTTTGTAATATCTAAAAGGGCCAATAGCAGCCTACCTCTGGACCCATTTTCCCGACCTGTACCGGGGGGGCTCGGCAGAAAGGATCGGGGAGAAGCAGAGCCCGAGGCCATGGTGTGTGACCCTCACCGGCTGTAGAACAGTGGAAGGACATCCGGAAAAAGGAGGCACATTGTAATTTCGTACATTTTCTTACGATTAACAGCCGTAATAATATATGCAACTTTTTGTTACTTACGACTAAAATAATTATTGCATTATAAGGAGATAACAGCGTCCATATTTTAAATTACTAGGACTTTGAATGTTGTTCAAAGTGTAGCTAAAGGTAAATAAGCAACTTAAAATGTTGTTCACACGTTAGCTAACGGCAAATTAGCTACTTACATGTTTCTTCAAACGGTGGAGTACGTTAAATTAGAATACATTTTGATATTCTTAATCTTCGAGTATATTCAGACATGCTTACCGTGTTAAATATTGGGCTTCGACAAAATGTCAAAAAGTCGTAACGCAACCTACCGTTATATACTTTATAAAATGTGCAACGCTTCGCTGTGTAAGGGTTGCTGACCAAAAGCTGAGGTTTACCGTTTCCTTAGCAACAGACCTCTCTCCCAAAATGAAACGCAGCAAAACAAAACCACGTTGTTTCCGCTTCTTGGCAGTTTGACAAATGTAAAAGAGCTCATCAAATACATCATTTACATCTTCTTAACCACAAAGAATAGGGTGTGTTTTTGAACAATGTTTATTTATTGTAACAAAGTTTATTTTTACATAGTCTACAACACATGACAAATCATACCCTTATAAATAACATTTACAAAATGTGGTATATTAGTGTACAAAACATGTTGCCATTTCACAAGGGCACCGACAACACAATTGCTGTCTTATGTATTAAGGTAATATCATATCTACAAATAGTGCAAATAAGCCCTAAAATCACACATGGTTATTTTCCTTGAGCAAAGGAACAGTTGCTGTTATAGAGTGTCTGGATCCACCATGGCTGTCTTTCTTCGCTGTGACGCCAACATACTCAGCTGTTAAAAGACATAATTATTATATAACAGTATTCAATAGATAACAAAGAGACTGAAAAAAAACAGATTTGTCTACGTTAGAGTCAAAAGGGAGAGGTAGAGTAAGTATTGCAATCTTTTACTTTTTTTTACTTTAGTAAAAGTATACTAAAGCGAAAACAAATAATTAGTTACAAGTAAAAGTCCTGTATTCTAAATTGTACTCAAGTAAAAGAACAAAAGTATCAACATAAGTACTTTAAGTACTCATTATGTATATGTAGTATGGCCCATTACAGCATTATATATAAATACAAATGTCGTTTTCGTAATAATTTGTTTATCTCTTGATGAGGGGTTTATTTGAATTATATAATTTACTGCTGGGTACCTTACATATGTAATAATATAATCATATGTCCAAATGTATTGTTTGATTTACATTTTGTACAATTTATCAAAATCTGCAAAGTATCTGAGGCTGAAAAATAAATGTAGTGGAATATAAAAGTATGACAATAAGTAATTAAGTAAATGTACTTAGTTGCAAGAGTTCCCATACCTGTTGTGTAGCAGTGCTGGCCTTTTGTTCAGATTGTGTCAGCCTTCTCTGGAGACGACTCGCCTTCTCTTGATACTCTGCTAGCTGCCTCTCATACTGTACACACACACACACACACACACACACACACACACACACACACACACACACACACACACACACACACACACACAGATTATTAACAACATGTCCAACACAAAATGTTTATTATTTGTTTTAACCTGTACACTCATTACATGTCACTCAGATTAGGTGTGTTCTATTGCTCTCCCTGAAGTTTATCCATTTTTAACCTGTAACTGTGGGGCTTCTTTGGGAGTTTTCCTTTGTCCGCTTCAAGGGGTGTTGCATGCTGTAAACACCGTAAATTCCCCTGAGACAAATGTGTAATTTGTAATTTTATAAATTCTATTTTATTGATTGATTGATTGATGACCATAAACATGACTCACAGTACTATGCCAATGCAATTTCCTATCATCCACACCACCTTGATTTCAAATGAAAATAAATGTTTGACTGTTCAATCATCTGCTGAACTCCATAGCACCGACAACTTACATTTAAACTTTTCCCAACCACCTTTCTTATGCTGCATGACACTTCCGATTATAAAAATAGTTTCTAGTAAAAAACTTGAAGACGTAGCCTACGGGGATGGACACACATCTTAAATGTCCTTAAATGTGTAAGAACTTCTCATCCTTCATGTCCCTTTACACCAAACTCTGGAAATCAGGCTGCAGGGTAGTGCATGTGTTACCTCAGCAACAGTATTATGGTCTTTTTCCAGCTGCATCTCCAGCTCATGTGAACGCTGCTTCTGCCGATTCAGCTCGCCTCTGAAATAGAGAGGAACAAAGAGTTGAAACTCTCTCACATCCATGGGGAAAAAAAGTATAAAGCTTTATTTTCAAGTGTTTCAAAAATGTTCAATACAGTAGTACAGTTAGTGCTGAGGGCGAAACAACTTTAAGTGGTAAGTCAATCTTGGTTTCAACTCTGATCAAAATCTTTATTGCTCCACTTTAGCTGTTGCTCGTTCTTTGATCCAGTGTTTGTGATCAAACTGATGAACAGTCCTTGGGCAGTATCAGAACAAAGTACTGTATTGCACCTAACAGAGTATTTTAGATATTCTTTATTATATCAAACTGTATCATATAAAGGCATCAGAATAATTTGGCAGCCTGTCAGTTACCCACCAGTTTCCAGTAGACTGCCTATCTTAGCATGCTTCAGTTTGTCTGGTTTCTTTGACGAGACACATTTTTCTGAGCACAATGGATCACATTATCTACACCCTTCTGAGTCACACTGACTGATAATGTTAGAGAAGGGTTTTTTCCCATCTATGTTCCCTTTCAATTTTTTACCAGGAAGCCGGTGTTCTAGGCCTGACATTAGTGACTTTCAATAGTAGCAGCAGGCTGCGTTGAAAAGCTACAGGGAAGGTAGTGGTATACAAAACTGGATAACAGTCTTATCATGTCAGGATGTTTTGTCAGAAAGGAAGCAAAATCTAAAATGAATTATTGATTTTGGTTTAGTAGTGTAGTGTCCGTTTACAGGAACTGCGCTATATATTGATGGCATTCAGCTTTCCCATGTATATTGACAATAAAGGTTGTTTTCTTTTGCAGTCTTTTGAACAGAATTGCTTGCCCTTAGATCACAGAAATATTCAAATGTCAAACGTTTTTGATACTTAAGCACAGCATGATGTTCCTTAAGGTCTTGTTGTCTTACTGTAGTATTTTAGAGGGATATTTGACAATGCATGTTATTGATTCTCTAACTGAAAAAAATGTTACAATTATGACCAAAATCTGTGTAACTAATTGTATCAAACCAAAACACAATGTTTCATTGCAGGTTCTTGACTAGAACAACCGTTCCTCTCTGGATATACCTTGACTTCAAAATACTAATGTTGGTTTATAAAGCACTGTATGGTTTCAGGCCAAAATACATTTCTGATCTTCAGCAACATTATGTACCATCCAGAACGCTCAGGTTGTCTGGGAAGGATCCGCTTTCTGTCCCTAGACGCAAAACCAGATATGGAGAAGCAGCGTTCAGTTTTAACGCTCCGTACATCTGGGGAAAACGACCAGAAAACTGTGAATTGCTTTACATCAATCGTAACAAGTCCTTACTTGAAGCCTGTCATTTTAGTCTCGAAGGCCTGAACGAGGTTCTTGGCCTCCTCCTTCCAGCGCTGGGTGCTTTTCTGCTGAGCCGCGAGGAGGCGCGTCAGGTCAGCGCAGGAGCTCCGGCTGCTATCTTCCAGCTCCTGCACGCGTGCGTCCAATCCCTGCTCCTTCAGGCTGTACTCCTGCTCCATCTGTGCCAGCTGGGGGGG